CACAGTGAATGGATTAAAAATGCTGGTCATGGGCATGGTTTGGAGGGCTTTAAAAAGAGAGTGAATGAGGAGGTTAGTCACTCAGTCTCTCTGCTTCGCTGTTGCACAAAATCACAACCAAAGAAAACCTTTGCCAAATGTGTTTCCTGGACTTTGAACTTCCACCCTCTGAAACTGTAAGCAATAAATTTTGTTTTCTTATAAATTACGCAGTTTCATGTATTTTCTTATAAGCACAGAAATGGACTAATACACTTGCCCAAGCTCCTACATCTACTAAGTGACAGAACCAAGATTCAAACCCAGGTTAGTCTTGATTCAAACCCAGGTTAGTCTTATTTCAAAGCCTGTGATTATATCCACTATGCTGTACTCTGCGGGAAGATTCTGGCTAGCAAAGCCCTGGGGCTAGGGTTGGGCATATGGAGGGGTCCCAGCAGCATGAACTGATGCCCCTCCCCCCCCGCACAGCCTCAGAGCTATACCCACTCCGCCAGGGATGTGCTAAAGCTGGGCTCAAGCAAGCCCTGACCAGAGGTCCTGCTGAAGCTGACTAGGCAGTCCAAGGTGTCTACGAAGTCTCTTATGACCTACTTCAACCCCCTGCTGAACTGGCTGGTGACTGAAAATGTACGGCATGGAGAGATCCTGGGTTGGCCAGACTTCAGCTGTTCATTTGAAGGTTTAATAATCTGACCCCAGCCCCAGCTCTGGCCCAGCCCCAGGGTCCACCTTACCCTTCCCTGGGCTAGACCCTACCCCAACCCAGCATCTATGGGTTAACCCTTATAGCATCTATGACCTGGCATGAACCAGCACAGCTCTGCTGCTGTGTGACCCTGTCTGTACCAAGCTGGTGCAGCCTCACCAAGATCAAAGCCCAGACCCCAGACCCCAGCTCAGTTGCTTCCCTGCATACTGTCTAGCTAACTGGAAGGCTAGCATCTGAGCAGAGGGTCAGCAGCTTGCCTCCTGACCCCTGCATGGAGCTACTGCTGGCTGCTTGGGGTATGTAACTCTATCTGTGCCCATCTCGTCCTTTTTTCCCTTCTCCTCCTCTTTCTCAGCCTCTTTCCACAGCAATGCCCTTACCTTACCTGTGGCTTGGAAGGTAGTGCCTGAGGCTGCAGAAGAAAGCCAATGGTAGTCAGAGCCTCTCAGACAGCCACAGGGAACCCCAGGGGCCCCTCCCCATTCCACCTGCTCTATGAGACTCCCATGTCTTCCACAGAAAAAGAAAGAAGCAAAGTGACATTTCTGAGTCTGGAGCTGAGCCCTAACCAGGCCAACTTTGGGCAGTGGCTGCTGCTGGCCCTGAGCTTCGTCATGTTCCTGGTGGTCCTGGGGCTGGCCTGCAGACTGTATTCCCTGGAAAAATGGGCACTGGACCAGAAGAGAATGATATTCAGCACACTGCCCACTGCCAACTTCCTAGGGATGACCATGGAGCCCCACGAGGCTGCCAGAAGACAGTGGATGCTGCTGGGTCTCTGCTTCATCCTGATGCTGTGCTCGGACGGCCTGACCATTTAGATTTTAGCACAGCACAGCAGGAAGCTTCCGCGGATGTGAGCCAAGTGGTGGAGTTGGGACTAGACACCAGTGCGACTAGTGAGGAGGGTGGGGCAGGAGGGGGGAGGCCGAGCCAGAGATCGCTGGGGGACAGGAGAGGGGACACCTGCATGCATAGTGCCTAATTGTAACTGAGCACAGCTGTGGCAGATCTGGGTACATGTGGTTTTGTAATTGTGTTTGCAAACTCATATATGTGAGGCCATGTGCACAGGTGACTGGGCCAACCCACTTCCCCTGGGGGCTTAGAAACCATGGTTTTAGTGACCCAGAGGCTGTGTCCCTCTGAACCAGCTCCCACACCAAGTCATACCTGGAACTGGTTCTTCACACTGCCTTGTTTCCTTCAGGAGCCCTGGTATGGGGCACGGCTGGAGTTGCAGTATCCAAAGAGTCTTTACTCTGGCTAGAAAAAGGGCCCTGCTTCAATCCCCTTATAAAATGTACTCAGGTAGAACCAGACATTCCTTTGTGAATCATTGGTGCCCAGCTGGTGAATACCGTGCTCTGTCTGCTGGCCAGCACACCTCTCTGTTCATCCTCTGGCCCGCCCAATGTGGGGCTGCACAATCTAGCCCTCAGAAGCTCGTTGTTGGCTGCCTGAGATGCAAGTAGCCTCGTAAACTGTCCTGTGGCTCTCCCTTCCCCAGCCCAGGCCCTCCCAAATGGAGACAGTGGGTAGCTGGGCACTGAGCCAGGCTTGATTAATGATTGACTTCTTTAATATTTAAACAAAGCTCATCTCCAGCCACTCTGCTCCGGAGATGGCCTTGTTCAACACACACACCTGCTGCCTGGCCCGTTGCCCTACGGAGCAAGCATAGTGCAAACAGCACCTTTCCAGGCTCAATGGGGGAGGGGGAGGACAGGGAGGAGGGAGCTCGTGGAGGAGATTTGGGAAATTAGTGCTCTAAGGATAAGCTTGGAAAAAGAAAAGGCCTTTGTCCCTGCCCTTCCTCTCCTTTATCTCCAGCCAGGGTCTGCCTGCCATGGAGATGCCACACTCAATATTTGGGGACTCATCTAGGAGGACCCAAGGGCTCCTGGGGGGCCTGGAAGTCAGTGCATGTCAGAGGATGGGGGAGACTTGAGGGGAAGTGGCATTATAGTCAGTCACCACAGAGAAGAGGCACCAAGGCTGCAGTTGAGGTGGTGGGAAGGTGGCCAAAAGAGGGACCAGCTCTTTCCAGATTAAGGATCTTAGCTCAAAAGTCAGGGTTCAGGGGACAAAACTAGACTGAGATCTCCATGAACCCTACCTCTGCCCAGGTTTCGAGAGGTCTTCTTGAGTTCTGCTCCTGCCCCAGGCTCTACAGGACCCACAATTGATGTCTCTGTCACTGCCCTTTTCTGTGCTGTAATGTCTTTACCTCCATTATTAGCCTGTAGCTCTGTAAGGGCTGACACACATCAGGAGTGTGCCCCTGTGTAACACCTGTAGTTAGCACAGGCCATGGCACACAGTGCGGACTTGGAAAATGTCTGAATAAGTCAATGAATGAGTGTCCCACTGAGCAAGTCCCTCCTCAGAGCTCAGCACCCCACACACTGAGCCCATGAGAAAAAGCCCCACCTTTCCTCCACAGCCAGCCTGCCCCACCCCATCCCCAGGGGCAGCCAGGACAACTCTGCCTCCCAGGAGGCCAGACTTGCAGCTCTCCCATCCTCCAGCTACAGTGGCCAACAAGGCCCCCACCAGGCATTGTGGCTCTGCATGGCAAAGGCACATCCAGCCCAGGACTCCAAGCCTCTCACCTGGACTCCAGCAAAAACCACACTGAGCTTCCTTGTCTGTCCTCCCCCACCCCCTGCCATTGTAAAGTTTATTTCACCAGAATATTTCCTTCATATCTAACTGCTTAAGAACTTGGTTGTCCATCAATTAAATCTAGATGCTCAAAATGGCATCTGAGGGTCTTTATCAGTTACCTCTCCCCAGCTCAGCCCCTCTGCATGACCTTGGCCTTTGTTGGAGGTGCATGCCCCATTTGAATACTTGCCCTCCAAGGCCTGGCTCAAAATTGGTCACTGAACCCTCTGCAAAGTTCCAAGTCCACCAAGATGCTCAGTGATAAGTGGTCCCCTTCTCCCCCTCCTCTCCAAAAAGTTTCTTTCAATAAACCTCACCCCACCCCCATCTGCTTCTTCTAGTGTGTTCATTTTCCATCAGTTCTCAGGCACTTTTATCAGTGGTCACTTGCTAATAGGTGGTTTTAAATCTGTTCTCCTTTTAACCTGCGCCTGTATGCTAAGAGCTCTGGGGCCTCTGAAGAAGGCACCTTATTGCATATTTTTTGTACACCTTCATGTGTACTCCTACCCCATCCTCCCAGGTCCTGGTTGAGCTTGCCACCAGAAGCTCTGCATGGGCTCAGCGGGAGGGCACTTGTCACAAGCGGGCAAGAGGACTGCCGGTACCATTGCCAGGGTCAGAGAGAGCCTTCAGCAAAAGACCACCTAATGCCCCTAACAACCTCTTCTGCCTGAGCCCTTCCCTGCCTGGGAGACTCCCCTGCACTGGGAGAGGAGACTGCCTCTCAGTACTGGGAGGGGTCCGAGAGGTGCTGAGACAACTGACCACTGGGACATGAGCAGAAGCTCCTCAGAAAAACCTTCAGGCCATGGACTCCCACCCCTCCCCACCCCGCCCCGCCCCCTAGTATTCAGGGCTCCGCCCCTGTCCCATAGAGGATTTGCCCCCAGCCCTGCGGACCCCGCCCCGCCG